TTCATTGATTATGTCACCTACAGTGAACCATTACGTTAGAAAAAGTTGAATACAAATCAAATCCAAATCTATGAATTTTGACGTTATGATAATAGTGAACATCACTTCATTGCTAAGCAAATCAAGGCTGCCCAAGTTTTAAACAGACAGATATTGAGAAAAATTCTAGCAAACTTTACTTTCCAGTAACTCTAAGTGAAGCCCCATCCTTAAAGAACTCTGAAGATGGCTTCAGGTCTTTCAGTGAAACCAACGCCCCTGATTTTATTGCAGCCGATGCCATCCAGTATAATCCTTTTTCTCACAAAAAGCACTTTGCTCCCTACTAAGAGTCAAATCCTACAGGAAAGATATGTAAATTTAAGTAAACAATCAATAAATTCTTTGTAACGAAGATAAAATGTAACTGCTCAAGCCCACCGCTTGCAGTTATTGTCCTCTTTGGGCTTTCTCTTTCGGGCTTCTCCTCAAGGTTTTGAAACGCATCAGAGAGGTTTCCACACTCTTATAAGGAATATTTTTTTCTCCTCTCTAACCGATGTAGGATCTCACAATCCATCCCGTTGGGGGCCCAATGTCCTTGTTAGCACACCGCTCAGTGTCTGGCTCTAATATCATTTGTAACAGCTCAAGCCCACCGCTAGCGGATATTATTCTCTTTAGGACTTTTTTTTTTGGGCTTCCGTTTTGAAACGCGTCTACTAGAGAGAAGTTTCCACATTCTTATAAGGAATGTTTCGTTCCCCTCTCCAACCAATGTGTGATCTCACGTGATAGAATAACCTATTAAATTAGTCTTCCAAAGTAGGAAATTAGCCCTTCAACCATTGTTCTCTACTATAACATGTCACATGTTACCATGTTCCACAGTCTCAGATATTCACACAACGCTTTTAACCCAACCCGTCTCTAAATTGAATTATGATTTATGAATACCTACTAAAAACATTCAGAAAGTTATTCAATCAAGCAGCCATTGTCAACTTCCCATCACAGGATTCTACTTCCCACTTCCAAGCAACAATAAAGTCCCCCACTCCTCTACACATTATGAGTTGCGTTTTTACCAAATTCCTTGTCCATTTCATGTCATTTTGATCTTGGAAACCTTAAATATACTCCATCCAGTAAAGTTTCCACTAGCAAACAGATTCATCATGCATTCCACTAAGGTAAAATTCTTCGAACTACATTCGGATTTCGGACTAAAAGAAATAACTCAAAAGATTAATGACTACGCTATGACACATTTTTCTGTTCCTCAGCAACCAAACAGAAAGCGAAAACCCTAAGGATTCCAAACAGGACAATACATGAATCCTAATAATCGATCATGAGCTCAACGGTGGATTGAAAGGCGAAAAAAGTTGAAAATCAAATTCCACCAAGCACAATAATAAACAATCAAAATAATGGATTCAGATTCAGATTCTTGATATGTCTACTCGGCAAGCAAAACAGAAAGTGGAGCACCATGATTACAGAAGCGAATTTATGAAAAAACGTGGAGCCATGATATTCAAACGAGAGAGAGATAGAGAGAGCACGCCTACTTACCTGTCGCCTTCTGAAATTTAACCAAACCAAGCAACACGGTGACGACGACTCACGAGACTTCGAAATGAACTTTTGATGGGAAAACAGAGCGGACAAATCAAAATTCACAATATTAAATAATAAAAATAAAAATAAAAACTTAAAACTCCGTTCGGGTCGAGCTAGGGTTTACATCGTGTTTATATGACTCAATGACAACCCAAATTATAGTGGTTGGATTGGGTTAATTTTTTTGAAACCAAATAGATTCGGTTCGATTTCGGGTTCATTGACAAAACTTCGAGTAGCCCGTGTTAGATGACAAAACCTCGAGTTCGGGTTGAGCTAGGGAATAGTAAGGCTTTTTTGAGGAAGCCCAAAGGAAAGTCACGAGAGCTTATACTCAAAGTGGACAATATCATACCATTGTGGAGAATCGTGTTCGTCTAACAACCCGAACCGAATAAAATTTTATAAAATATATTAAGAAATGTTATGTAATCACGAGTAAAGTGATGATTTTATGGCACTAATATTCCTCTTACTCGATCACCGAAACATTTTGACTTTTTTTTAGTCAGATCAACTCGACCTAATTAACCAATAATTACAAAAGTTAAGAATATTTGAAGGTTGTAATAAGAAAATAAATATTAAATTTTATAAGATTTTAGTTATTAATATAATAAAAACTCGAATAAATATAATTTTTAAAAATATTAAAAAAAATGATTTATACTTAGAAATAAAATGAAGAAATATTAGATTAATTGTTTCTAGTTTTTCATAATGGGCCTTTTATTTCGGCCCTATAGTACCAAAATGGGCTTATGGATTATTATTATTTTTTTTTTTTTATTATTATTTTTTTTTTTTAAGTATGGATCGAAGTGGAAGAGTGCTCGAGAGTTGCACTGTTACATAAGGGTGTCACTTATTTTTTTTCAGGTACGGGTCGAGATGGGGGAGTGCTTGGAAACTGCACTGTCACATAAGAGTATCACCTCTCTTTTTTTTTTAGGTATTGGTCGAGGTGGAGGAATGCTCGAAAGTTACGGTATCATAGAGGGGGTGTCGACCTGGGACATCAATGTAGTCTAAAAATTTGAGTATTTATAGATTTATACTTTCAATAAAATTGAAAACTCTACCATTAATTTTCAATAATCGACACGCTCATGACATGCCCCATCCACCATGTTCTCCTTTGCCAACCGAATATAACTCGTGTGTAGAACCCAAGCTTGTTTAGTCACACCCGCCGTGGTCACATTTACAACTCTAGTCAACTTGCCTCTACACTAGGCCAAGTCATTCAGCTAAACCTTACCTCTACTCTAGGACAAGGCCTGTCATGTGTAACGTCGCATCTCAATCATCATCTTGGTTCCAAACAACACGTCCATACATCATGATGTCATCACACGTATCAGGACAACTCGACCATCTTAACTTGTTTAGGCATGTCTATCCGTAGCCGAATGGGCGCCACTTGAGAATCGCCACCTTATCGGTCGGCCGTGTAAGGAACAAAAAAACCCAAATTTGGAAACATACTTGTCCTTTATGATCCAGCAATGCAAGTTCGTAGATTGTGTGCTTGAAAAGAACTCAAGACAGTACTTTGTTCAAAAGGGGAATGTCTTTCTCTCTCCTACTCACTTAACTTCGCACGTGCGAAGTGGGATTGTAATCCAAATTTGACCATCCTCCTACTTTTTTATATTTGCAGATTAGTCCTCCAACTCTCTATCATTTATTGGGTGAGGTATATTTATTTATAATTTAATGAGTTTTGAAAATGTGATTTTTTAAAAAACTTATTGCTATATAATTAATGATATTAATTTCCAACTAAACAAAAATTAAATTAATATAAATAATTTGGCAGTTTCTATATATATATATATATATATATAGAAAAATATATTAAATAAAATATTTATGGCGAATATTTTAACTCTAAATTTGTTAAATTTAAATTAAATTTTTTAGTTTTTAAAATTATTTGTGTAAAATTAAAAAAAAGTAATTAATTATTAACACCCCGTTTAAATTTATTCTTATCTTTTAATTATTTTAGAAATTTAGTTAATAAACTATAAAATAATGAATAATTTTAAATAAATAAATATAAACAATAAGAAAAAAAGGTTTGAAGTCACAAAATTTAGATATTTATTATTATTATTATTTATTTATTTTTGTTTTATTCTCATAAAAATTATTAAATACGTGAAATTGTATTTTTTTTACAATGGAGAAAAAAATATTAATTAGGTATAATTCATTAAATAAAATACATATTCCTTGTTATCTCTGGTCCCACATTTAATTTTCTTTTTAGGATATTTAAAACTTATTTCTATTTTATTATATTATTTATATTTATAATTAAATAATTGGCACATGGTTTTGTTTAATTAAAAAAAAGTCTCCAAAAGGCAAATAAAATAAAGTTCACGTGATTTTCCTCTTTGTCGTTTTTCTAAAAATATTTATTAGCATTATTAAAATAAAATAATAAAAATTGAGAAATATGACAAATATAATGCCGCTAAGTTAATAGTTATTATATTTTTTTCAAAGATTCTTTTTCATTTTTAATTAAGAATTTGAAAATTCAACCAAATTAAAAAAAAAAACAAAAAATAATAAAACTTTACCGAAAAACCCCTTATTTATTATTTTTTTGTATTGTTTCTTCCTCCAATAATTTATTATTTTTTTTAAATATGGTTTTTCTATTTTTTTTTTCAAGTATTTAAGTTTATTATTGTTTTTTTAATAAATTTTTTAACTTTTTTTTTTCAATTATATAATTTTATAGTAAAAAAATGAGGATCTTATTTGGCTGCAAAAGGGAAACCGGCAACTTGTACAGTCAGTCAAAGGAGGGCTTGACCATTTAAAAAATAAAAAATAATTCAAAAGCGACTAAAAACTCCTCTAAAACGTTTCTGGTTTTACCCACTAATTTAAAAATAAATAAATAAATAGTCATCATACGAACAATTTCCGACCTCTATTATCTAACGAGTCTAGGTTCATTTTGAGTGCTCGTAAAATTTTCAAATTTACTTATGTATTTGGTTACTAATTTAAAAATAATAAAAATAAGAAAAAAATAGATTAATAAATACAGTATTTTCGATAACGTGCAAGAGTAGAGTATTAATTAATTATCTGGTCTCTTGATCGATGACATATGTTTTCAAACAGTTAAGTTATGCCGAGTAACTTGGTCGAATTATTTATACAAATTTAATTTTAGTTTAGTTTGAAATTAATATCATTAATTACTATACCATAAAGTAGAATTACATTTTCAAAATTCATTAAATTATAAATAAATTTGCCCCCACCCTATAAATGATATAGAGTTAGAGGACTAATCTGCAAATATAAAAAGTAGGTTATGGTCAAATTTGGATATACAATCCCTCTTCGCACGTGCCAAGTTAAGTACATCCAAAATCTGAGTAGGAGAGAGAGAGATAATCCTCCTTTAATTTATCTATTTAAATCCATTTCCAGTTTCCTCTTCCTTAGCTGACACCGAACAACAAAATGGCCGGAATTTTCACCGTCGGAATGTTGCCGGACGACTGTCTTTCCGCCATTCTCTCCCTCACAACTCCCGCCGACGTCGTGAAACTATCCCTCATCTCGTCGGAGTTCCGGTCAGTGGCGGAATCCGACGTCGTTTGGGGAAGATTTTTGCCTGAAAACTATGCCCAGATTATCGCCGCCTCTGATATCTCCGACGAAGTCCCGTTTCGGTCGAAGAGAGAGATTTTTTTCCGGCTCTGTTCTCCCATCCTCATCGACAGCGGTAAAACGGTAAATAAATCAAACCCATATACCATTTTGTCGGACTGTGTTCGTCATATTGGTTGAATAAATCATCTCTGTTTTTACAGAGCTTCGAGTTGGATAAATTTTCCGGGAAAATCTGTTATTTACTGTCAGCAAGGGAATTGGGTATCACATGGAGCTCTGATCCACTTTGTTGGAGCTGGAAACGGCATCCACAATCTAGGTACGTACCTAAATAGCTCAAGTAGACTGTTAGTAGATATTGTCATTTATTTTTACTTTTGAAGTGGGTTTCCTTAAAGTTTTAGATATTGTCCATTAGTATAAAAGGTGTTTAGTTCCAATCCAATTCATGTGGAACCCTCCAAATCCACACTCCTTTCAAGTCCAGTGTCTTTGATAGCACACCGCCTCGTGTCAACCTTCTTTGAGGCTCAACCTTCTCGATGGCATGTTGTCCGGTATCTAGATCTGATATAATTTGTAACAATCCAAGCTCACAACTAGCCACATTGTCCTGTTTGGCTCTAATACCTTTGTAACAATTCAAGCCCACAACTAGCAATATTGTCCTTTTAGGGCTTTCCTTTTGGACTTCCATCAAGGTTTTCAAAACACCTACTAGAGAGAGGTTTCCACCCCTTCAAGCCCAACGTCCTTGTTGTCACTTGTTCCCTCACCCCTTCAGGCCCAACGTCCTTGTTGTCACTTATTCCCTTCTTCAATCAATGCAGAACCCTCCAAATCAACCTCATTCGGTGTCCAGCATCCTTGCTGCCACACCGCCTCATGGCAACTCCCCTTCGAAGCTGAAAACTACAATCGGATTATCGCCACCTCTAATACCATTTGTAACAGCTCAAGTCCATCAAATATTGTCTCTTTGGGCTTTCCCTTTTTAGGCTTCCCCACGAGTTTTTAAAACACGTTTTCTAGGAATAGGTTAAATGTTTCGTTCTCCTCCCGAACCGATGTGGATCTCACACACGCCCACACATATTATATATACACATGTTTCTAAACGCATCCATTTTGTGGTAAGATTTTCAGAAGTGGCAGAGCTAAGAACAGTGAGCTGGCTGGAAATCCATGGAAGAATAGGGAGACAGAAGCTGTCGCCAAACACAGAGTACGGAGCTTATCTTATAGTGAAGATTACAGAGAGAGCGTATGGGTTGGATTTGATGGCGGCGGAAGTTTCGGTGGCGGTGGGGAATGGAGGGCGGATTACAGAGGGCAGAGTATGGCTGCAGCGGAAACAGAGGAAGGAGGAAGATTTGGAGAGCTTGTTCTATGGAAATAGAAGGGAAAGGGTGAGGAATCTAATGGGAACAGAGGAAGAAGAAGAAAGCAATGGAATAAGGAGTTTGAAGGAGAGAGATGACGGTTGGTTTGAGATTGAATTGGGAGTGTTCATGAGTGGGGAAGATGATGAAGATGTTCATATGAGTTTAATGGAGATTAGAGGCTTTCAGCTCAAAGCTGGAATCATCGTTGAAGGGATTCAAATTAGGCCTAAACTCAACATCGATTGAGTCATGTATAATAAAGTCTATATCATTTTTAAAACGTACCGGTTAGAGAGATGTTTCCACATCCTTATGAAGAATGCTTCATTTCCCATGGAGATCGCCTTCAAAGTCCTCAACTTTGACAGGCACTCATGGTGGCCGACCTCTCGTGTTCGACTGATATTGACATTGAAACTATTAAATACAAAATAATTTGTAAAATATATAGATATACCAATAACTTACTAAAGGCTAATTTGTTCATAGAATAATATGGACACTTATAAAATATGAAGCAAATAAGGATGGAAAAGTGGGAGGAAAGAAAATACAAGATGTTTCTCATTGAATACGATTGTGATGTTGTAATAGCGAAAACTTGAACAAAGAAATGAGTGAATCTCACATGACAATGTATCTTCAAGTTGACCAAAACGTGAATTTTCTGTCTCACAAATAGCGCTGAACATGGGACTGAAACTAAACTCTGTAACCCCTGCTGTTCCTCTTTCCTCTAGCTCTCTCGAACTTCCTTCCCTTCGACCTCACGTATGGTTTCGTGTGGCTGTGAGGTACACCAGGAGCAGGACCAAAGTGCTTCACGGCTTCTCGGGAGTTCTTTGGTCCACGAAGGAGAACCTTTGGGTGCAAAATTACAGCAGATTAAGTTTGAATCTAACAATTGTTAATATAGGGAGCTCAACGACAAGTCAATATGAAATTCAGGACACAGTCGCTATCGTACCGTATTCTGGCCTAGAGGAGCTCTCAGGGCAAGCTGGTCAAAGGTCAAGCACTCGCCACCAGCCTTCTCAATCCTTGCCCTTGCAGTCTCGGTAAACCTCAAGGCTGTAACCTTCAAAGCTGGAACTTCATAAACACGAATGTCGTCGGTCACGGTTCCGACAATGACGGCAATTTTATCTTCCTGTACAATGTTATAACCACGTGAAGTTAGACACCGAACAATGTGGATAAAATGGTTAAGAACAAGTAATGCATACATAGAAGCACACACCTTTCCCTTCATGAACTTGATAAGTCTGGATAGTGAAATTGGTGGCTTGTTCACCTTGCTCATGAACAACCGCTTAAGGATCACTGCATTGAAATTGCTTCCAGTTCTTCGGACAAGAAATCGGTACAGCTGAATTCAGTAAACAAAATTAAAAGAACCCATCACTTAAATGACCCGAATAAGCATAATGAACAATAAACAGCTTGCAATAAACCTACAGGATAAGTGTCCATAAAAATGAATTATTATCGAAAATAATCTTGAAATGCAAAAAACTTCAAGCGTATAATAGTTTGAGCTCAGGTAAATATGTGAATCTTGTCTAGTCATTGACATTTAGAATGTCTCATAGAGCTGGGATTAACATAATTCATCATTGCGGCTGATAAAACAACAGCATTTCAATTAAAATATAATTTAAGAGTTAAAAATATGGGCCAATTATTCCACTTCGTTGTTCAAATTGAATAAGAAAGTTTAAATTGAATAAGCTCAGATAAATGTGGAAACAGGTTCATTCCCGGACCTACGGAAGGCCTCATAATGAGCTGGGATACACAAATATCATCACTGCACATTAAGTTACAATGGCTAAAGTTAAAGATAATGCTCACAGAATAAGATTATAAATTCATATGGATACAATATTAGATATTCAAACGAACAAAGGTCCTTCAGAAATAATTAATTCAACAGTGTAGGCTAGTTCCCTCAGAGACAAGAGTTGAAGATCAATCATCATGTGATCAGTATTAGCATGGTTTAAAAAGTAAAGCATCACAGGGAACAACCTATCTCTCAATCATTCAACAATTTAAGGGAATAATGTATTTATTCAAAATCAAACGGTGCAAAAATCCTTTCAAAAATACAGAGAAAAGGAAGCCAGTGACTGAAATGGCAGAAGGATATGCCGACAGGCTTCGTTATTAATTCATGATGAAGGTAGCCCATATATGTCATCCTAATTTTACTGCTGAATTTGATACAAATGAATGAATTTCAAGGGTAAAATATTTTGAGCTCAGGTAAATATGTGGATCTTGTCTAGTCCTTGACCTGTAGAATGTCTCATAGAGCTGGGATTATCATATTGCATCATAGCGGCTAATAATAAAATCAGCATTTCAATAAAATATAATAAAATAAAAGTTAAAAATATTGGCCCATCGATTTAAAAATAATATTTTGAGCTCAGGTAAATATGTGGATCATGTCTAGTCCTTGACCTTTAGAAAGTCTCATAGAGCTGGGATTATCACATTGCATCATTGCGGTTGATAATACAATTAAGCATTATCAATCAAAATATAATTAAAGAAAAGTTAAAAATATTGGGCATCAATTTAAAAATAATATTTTGAGCTCAGGTAAATATGTTGATCTTGTCTAGTCCTTGACCTTTAGAAAGTCTCATAGAGCTGGGATTATCACATTGCATCATTGCGGCTGATAATACAATAAGAATTTCAATCAAAATATAGTTTTAAGAAAAGTTAAAAATATTGGCCCATAGATTTAAAAATAATACTTTGAGCTCAGGTAAATATGTGGATCTTGTCTAGTCCTTGACCTTTAGAAAGTCTCATAGAGCTGGGATTATCACATTGCATCATTGCTGCTGATAATACAATAAGCATTTCAATCAAAATATAGTTAAGAAAAGTTATAAATATTGGCCCATCGATTAAAAAATAATATTTTGAGCTCAGGTAATTATGTGGACCTTGTCTAGTCCTTGACCTGTAGAAAGTCTCATAGAGCTGGGATTAACATATTGCGTCATTGCGGCTGATAACACAATCAGCATTTCAATCAAAATATAGTTCAAGAAAAGTTAAAAACATTGGCCAATCGATGAAGATATAATATTTCGTATCTAAAAATTCGAATTCTAGATTTATTGGTGGCCAATTATTCTGCTTCGTTGTTCAAATTGAGTCAGAAAGTTTAACTCTGAGCCTAGGCTCAGATAAATGTGGAAACAGGTTCATTCCCGGACCTACAAAAGGTCTCATAATGAGCTGGGATACACAGATATCATCACTGCACATAAACTTCACCTACTTTCTTAACAAACAGTCAGATTTCAAGCACCATTGAGTTAGAAAAAAAAAATTCAAGATAATTCAAGATAATACGAGCGAAAAAAACGTGAAAATAACGATGTATAAAATTCAAGATAATTCTTGCAGAACAAGATTTAAAATTCCACTCCACATTCAACAAAAACTTAAAGTTTAATCACAACATACTTATTCATTAGTTACAAAAAAAAAAAAAAAAAAAAAAAAAAAAAAAAAAAAAAAAAAAAAAAAAAAAAAAAAAAAAA